GTTTGACGGGCTTCACAAATTCGCTCATAACATTCTGCTCCGATATCGGATTTGGGTGATCTTGGCATCTATGCGTAGATATCGAAGAGATCTTTCCAATGATTTGGACTTCTAGACTGAAAGTTATTGGACCTGCAAGATCTGACTTTTCTAAGCTTCACGTTTTTTCCGAAACAACTTCAAATGTTTCCGGTTCATCCGTGATGTTCCATAATCCATGTTTTCCACTCCTTTTGCTCTCTTTATATATGGATTCCTGTTTAAATACCAAAGAACACAACCAACCAATATCGAAACCAAATGTGCCCTAGAATGTTTACAAATACGTAAAACCGAGTGAAATACGTTAGACATCCTATATCAAAACATCACCCAAAATACGTGTTATCAATATCCAACTCCATGATCAATCCAATCGATTCATGAGTTCCTGTATTTGATTCTGATGATATCAACACTTTGATACAACCAAATTAAACCAAACAATTGATAATTTTCACAAAAACACCAATTCGTTTGACAAATTCATATAACACAAAGAACAAATATTTGATCCATCTTTTTCAAGACCGATTTGAAACTCATATCAAACATGAAACATGTTTAATTATATGTCGATCAGGCTCTGATAACACTGTTGTGTTTTGGAGATCCCTAAACATGTGTTCACAATGGTTTCTAGGGTTCCAATTTTGGGTTTTATGCAACAGAATAATATGAAACGAAACCCAAAAACAGATCTTACTTATAATGATAAAGATATCAATAAACCAACCTGTTTTGATCCAAGGACCTATCACAAACACTAAAATCAAGCGCTCTCTACAACTAGTCCACATTCAGGGACTTGTGTTTGCTAGAACACGATTTGGAGGACAGGAATAGAAATCGAGGCACTCTTAGTGAGAGAGAAACCGTCGACCAAGAGAGAAAAAGGGAGAAACAAACTTTTTTTTCTTGCCTCTTGCTTCATCTAAATTATGTGTCTAACACATAATTATAAGTTAATTAGGGTTTCATAAAGCCAATTGGACCTATTGGGCCTTCAATTTAACTAGTAAAAGAATTTAACCCATTAGCTTCATTCGTCATCATATGGGCCCATTGGGTCACCTAAACCCAACCAAATGATTTCTAATCAGTTTTGCAAACCGATCGTGATCAGATCACCATATCCCTCACCCAGACCAGGTTGTACAAAGGTACTTCCGCTTCATGTCTTTTGATCTGATTCCACGTTGCAACTATTGAGAATGTGGGTTCGTAGGAATTCTCACTATGTTTCTAGAGCAATTGGTCTTCGCCTCTATCATCATCCGGTGCATGTATCTCAGTCAAGGCGACTTGTAGCTACTGGATCCAATCTGTACGAGCACTCGGTAGAATCCAAGAGCCTGCAGATCACCATCTCTTACAATGGGGTGGAATGGTAGTTGTAGCATGTGAGGTCCCTCTTCCCTGATGTAGTAGATTAACGGACCCAAATTTGTCCAAGCAACATGCCGGAACATAGTTGTTCTACCATTCCCATTGTTGTATCTAATGAACCTCTGATTAAGCGTGTCGAGTTTAATAAGCTTACGCATATTCCATGACATCCGATTTGTTGGCTTTCTACCCCATAGATCTTGACATTTAAACAAATTGTTGTGAGTCCATGCAATCCAAAGAGAGCTTGATTTCGTGAGCAAAAACCAGTTTAGCTTGAGTTTTGCTACTGTGTTCAGGTCCTCTAACTTACAAAGGCCAAGTGTTAGGGAAAAATGGGGTAATTTTTCTCCTTCCCGTTACTTGTGTTTTTTTCGCATTCATCCGGTTTTGTAGGTGTGAGTCACGGACGGGACACACGGCCGAAGACTCAATCTCATTTCCAAGCGGGACACGGACCAAGGATGGACTCCCGAACATTTTTCACATGATCCGGAGAGGTTCCAAATCGCGGCCATGGGCGAACCAAGACCGAAGATTGCTAAGTCCCGAGACTTATCTTTTGACCCGAACATGGTCCAAGACGAGTTCTTGGACTTGTCCGGCCATTTTCCATGGTTTGGGCTTGGGCCAAAGCCCGTTTAGTTTGTCTAGTTTCAATGTATTCGACTAAGGGACTCTCAACATTTCTTCCCGGATTTTAAGCACGCCGGAATGAGTGGGAAAGAATATTCCCCAACTTGTTCCTTAAATCGTGGCACTAAGGGAGATAATGAAAGGAGCCGGCCACTTTTACCGTTTTTTACTCCCGAAAAGTAGGGACGTGTTGAGTTAATTAGGGGTCGAATTCTGGAACTCTCTCTCAAGTTATTGTTAAGCCTCTTCTATAAATAGGCTGGTCATTTGTTGAGAGAGGCAATCTCGTTTTTCCCTCATTTTCTCACTAAGTTCTGAACTTTGGTTCTACGTCACCGGTTCGTTTCTTTTCCGGTCATACGCCTCGGCTTTCAAACTGTCTTCGTGTCGTCCTCCTTGTACCGAACCGTCGTCGGCCGTTGTATCCTTTGCCTTATCAATAAACTCGACGCCACGGATTTTCCCCATCTCACTCTCATCATTCGTTCCCTAAGGAACAGAAGGCTTAGTCTAGTCTCTCGGAGTTTCCAAGTGCAACCCAGTTTGCCCGAAACTTCCCTTTTCTGCATCGGGATTAGTCTGTTGCACAGGAAGATTCCTATCGCGAATCTAACTCCGTGACACAAGACCCCCTTCTCTTTTTGGTATAGCATATGTCATCATCAATTTTCTACAAGAAACTTGGGAGAGTAAATGTTGCACTCTAGGGGTTGACCATGCCATATATAACCGAGACTATCAGTTTAATTTGCCCTGCATACGCTGAACTTTGTTGTCCATGCTTCAATCTTTGACTAATCTTTTGGAGGAGTTGCTGGAAGTGAGAACGAGTGAGTTGCCATAAACTAAGTGGGATTCCTAAGTAGCGTGCCGGTAATATACCAAGCCTTACTCCAATATATGCACTCCTATTTAGGGCTTGAGTTTCATACATTCCAACAACAAAGATTTCTAATTTCTCAGGGCTCATATGCAAGCCAAAAAAGTTCCCGAAGGTCTGTAGGATTAACCACTTGTAACGAATTTCTTTTCAAGTCTACCGTAAACTAAAAACACATCATTTGTCCTTTTCAAGCATTTCAGGATGTTCTTTACGGCTATCCAATATGTTTCACCTGGATTAGACTGACATCTACTCGTTAGACTCGACGTTAACGATACATCTGATCGAGTACACTGCACGACGTACATGATAGATCCTATCACCGAAGCGTATGGAATTCTATCCATGTGACCTCTTTCATCAGGTATCTTTGGACATTGATTCTTGCTCAGAATTAAACCGTGCCTCATCGACAAGGATTTCTTCTTGGATTCTTGCACACTAAATCATTTTAACACCTTGTCACAAATACTCCGACTTAGGCCGATTAGCTTTCTCGATTTATATCTATAGATCTTGATACCTAGAATATAGACAGTCTCGTCTAAATGTTTCATCGCAAAACATTTTTACAACCAAGACTTGACGTCTTGCAAGGTAGGAATATCGTTTCCGATGAGTAAGATGTCACCAACATATAAGACTAGAAACACAATTACGCTCCCACTATCCTTCTAATAAATGCGTGGTTCGTGCTCGTTTGTATAAAACCAAACTCTTTGGTTGTCTCATCAAATTGTAGGTTCCACCTTATTGAAGTCTCTTTCAGTCCACAAATAGACCTTTGAAGTTTACAACCTTTCTTAGATGCTCACTATCCTCAAAACCTTCAGATTATGTCATGTATCAAGCTAATTCTTGTTAGGGAATGCAGTCTTGACATCCATTAACTATATGTCATAGTCGTAATATACGGTTTATGGAAATGGGGAAGAAGAGGAGTCTGTTGGGTAATATTCTGATGAGGAAGGTGGAGTTTTTTCAACATGGTTCGTGGTTTTAGAAGATGGGGTATGTGGCGATGGATCGATTTGGTCTGATTTTGGGGAGCAGGGTTGTGTGGAGGACAAGAGAGGAATGGTCTTCTTCGGGAAGGGGAGGAGGAGATCCGATTGTGGGAACGGGATTGGTCTGGGCTCGAGGGAGTTGAGGGGCGAGGCGACGAGGATGGGGCCAGCTACAGGGGGCGGTCTGTGGTTTTCTGTGGGACGATGCTGGGGTTTCTCTCTCAGAGAGCTTCAATCTAATCAAGCTTAACCGGGTTGAGGTTAGAGATTATTCTGAGAACACCGAGAGATTAAAACCTTTAAGTAGGGCACAAGTGTTGTATAATGTTCATTTTTGCTATGCTTTTAGTCTTCTTGTGCTATGAGAATTCTCCAAGAACCGGAGAAGGAATGATCGTGTGTAACCTAGTTCGTTCTAGTGGAAGAGATCTCGAAACCCTAAGCTTTGGACCGTGAGTAGGATTTTCTACGATTCAAACACGTTAAATCTGATATGTGGTTCTTCAATTTTTGTTCTCCTTTGATTTCGTCGAACTTTATTGAAATTATTATAGAAATCCATGAAAAAAATTTAATTGTTATAAAAAAAATAACATTAATAGTTTGCAACCATTGAAATACTAAAATGTTGCAATATCATAAATTTAAATAAATATTATATGTTTTATTATGATTCTTATGATTATATATATTTATATATGTTTTCTATCCAAATTTAATAGATTTTTATAATAAATGTAAAACATTATATTTTTTGAGCAATTTAGATAGATAATGATTTTTTTTATTAAAATTAATCATTGATGATTTTTTATAACAAATTTAAAGTGGAATATTAGTTTAAAATAATTTATATAGTTGATGGTTTTTTATAATTAATTTTAAGTAGAAGGTATTTTTGGTGTAAGTGTAATAGTTGGAGGCTGTTTTAGATTTGTCCCTTGTAAATTCTATATTGATACTAATCCTATAGTTACAAATCTCATAATCGAAAACAATTAAATATATTTTTTAATAAAAATATGGTTTTTTTGTTCATAACTCCATTAAAAAAAACCCACATTGTCTTATTCTTATAGTAACGAAAACAAAAAAGACACATGCATAACATCTATGCGCAAATCTGAACCTGATTTTAAGCCGAAGCAGTAGTGAACCAGGTGACAAAGTTTTCGAGGGTTGAGCCGTCGGCTCGGTAGCCGCTTTGAGTGAACTTGTAGAGGTCAGACCACGTGAAGTCCGGATACCTTCTGGAAACTTCTTCATCAGAATCACCAGAGACAAGTTCCTTTGGTGGCAGGAGGAGCTTGTCGTCCCTCGGACAAAGGAAGTACGCGAACGATCTTCTCCTCTCATCTTTGTTTACCACCGCCCTATGTAGGCAGCTCTGGTACTTTCCATTCGATAGTGCCTGTTCATACACATAACTCAGTGTTACCTCAACAAACTTTAATATGATCAATCGTATCAAGACTTTTGATATCACTCTTTACAATACACAGATACTTATACGTGCCGTGAATGTGTCACCGATGTTGATCACGAATGCTTTGGGGTAAGGGGGGACGGACCACCACTTTCCCTTGGAAAAGACGTCGAGTCCAGCGACGTGGTCCTGTAGGAGAACGGTGAGACTAGTCGGGTCGCAGTGAGGGCCGGTTCCTAGAGTTCGATCGGGCTCATTACACGGCAGGTAATAGTTGCACCTCATCATGGACTGACCGCCTTCGAAGAATTTCCGGTAGTATTTCCGGTCCTCAAGGCCTAGACTTATCCCTAGAAGCTCCGACAACTCTAGGCATAGACCGTTCACTGCCTCGCAATACTTCTGGTACCCTTTTCTGAAACGACCAAAAGAAATAGGAAGAACCCTTAATTATAATAAAAAATACAGAGCAAAGTTAACAAACAATGACCAAAAATCAGATCTCGTTCTCAATCCCCATCGATTGAAATATTTACGTGATACATGCAAACACATATAGAATAAGTTAATACGAGTATGTATGCTATTTATAAGCATGTTATGTAGTAAATAATATTTACCCTATCTCCTCGTAATCTTTTCCAAGTGTCGATCTAACAAATTCCTCGACGACCGGAGTGGAGCCCTCGGAGAAGACAAAAGTGATCATCTCTTTCCACGGGAGCGTTGTCGAGAATCTCTCGGCATGGGCCCCAGAAAATCCCGGGATCTTCCCCGGAAGCTTCTTAGCCCTTAGCTTCACGTCCGTCGGAAGCCCAAAGAACCGATCCGCCAGAATCTTGGCCGCCTCGGCTAAGTCCCAGTCGACGCCGTGGTTAACCACCTGGAACGCCCCGAACTCCTCGCAGGCCGCCCTGACCATGGCCGCAGCTGCCTGAGTTGCGGCCTCGTCGCCGGCCAAGAACCCGGAGAGGTCGATCACTGGGAGGTTGAGGTCAGCCTCGGAAGGGATGACGTCATCTTCCGGCCATACGAAACCTGTCGGGATCTTTTGTTGGGTTTGGAGTTTGGATAAGTTGAAGAAAGAGGTGGCCATTGTGGATGTTGGTGATGTGATGTGGATTCATTGTTCAATGCAAAGATGGGCTTATATAGAGTACATTCAGGAGGTTTAAGATGGCTAGATCGTGTATTTAAAAGTGTATACATATTAATCATTTTTTGGATACTTTTCTATAATAAGATAAATGCATATGGATATATATGATCATTTCATCTAATATTAAAAGCAAGATATTTTTCCATTTAATAAGAAGATATATATGTTAACACAAGCTATTTTCTCATTGACTTTAAAGGAAAATGGCTAAAAAGAAAATAAAATCCATCGAACCTATATAGACACACGCACCAAATAAAGAGATTCCTGTTAATTTCCTTTAAAGTCATAAAATGCATTGAACCTATTTCTCTTTTATCCTCAATATACTAAATAGATTTCTATGTCTACCCTCTCCTTATCCAAAAAAAATTATTACTTCTAAAATACCTTCTCAAAATGTGTGTGGATCAAAATAACCTTATAATATTATTTTATATTTATTTTTAAAATTAAAATCAGTATTCTCTCACCTCCAAACTAGGATTTCTCTCTACTCCATGTTTCTCTTTCGATGAAACTTTCTCTCTCTTCATTCGTTTTTCTCTCTTCTGAAATTGGGTTTTTTCCCCTCAAAATTCGACGAAGTCATAGCAAAATTTGTATGAAATCAAACATAAACTTGGAAATATATAAGCGACGATCGAAATATATAAGCGATGGTTTTTACATTTTTTCTAGGGAAAATTCCAAAAAAATTATCGAATTTGGAGATAGCTGACATATTAATACCGAACTTTTCCAACTTCCAAATTAAATATGAACTCGCCGATTTTGAAACAAAAAAATATTGAACTTGTAAATCTTTGACAAAAACCTCATCGATGTTAAACGGCGTTAAATCGACCAACAGCGTTGAGTCATCCGCCACGTCATCTCAACCGTTCGTTCGATTTAACGTCGTTTAACGTCGATGAGATTTTTATCAAAGAATTACAAGTTCAATATTTTTTGTGTCAAAATCGACGAGTTCATATTTAATTTGAAAGTTGGAAAAGTTCGGTATTAATATGTCAGCTATCTCCAAGTTCGGTAATTTTTTTGGGATTTTTCCTTTTTTCTATATTTTTTTATTATTTACTAAGTTTTGTCATAGATCTGTGTCCGGTCTGTATTTTAATGTTTTCAAAGTATAATTGAGTCATGGGTCACATAGGTTATTTATCACAATAGTCAGAATGGACATATAGAGCACAAACCTAACAATGTGCATATCGATCATGGATTACTACAATAATACGGGTCACAATAGATGGGTCATAAGGGCTACATGGTCATACGATCAAATACTCGTATGGGTCACGGACCATTAGGATAACGGTTGACATAGGTCATAAGGGTGAGAAGGTCACATGGTCACACGATCACATGGTTACACGGTCCCATGGTCACACGGTCTGGTGGTCACACTGTCACATGGTCCTTAAACCCCTAATACCGTATGTTGACAAAGTGTTACATGAATGGTAGGAGAATGTCTACAACGGAAGGAGAGAGAAACCGCAAAATGATAACAGTTGTGAATGCAATGTTTTTGTAATAAAGTATATTGACACAATTTGCCTTGGTAAACAACAGACGTTGTGCCCCTTGATATGCGCGACAATGTCTTCCTGATCCGTAAGCAGCTGGCGATCGCAGTATTTGTCCGTGGCAAGGTTCAGACGAAGAAAACGTGAACTTTTACTTGACCAAGTTCCTTGTTTTTTGTGTTTGAACCCTAACTATGATCTCCTTTTATTTGTTTGGTAAAACCCTAAATTATAAACTTTTACTTTTTATTTTTGATTATTTTATATCTGAACTTATTTATGAACTTGTCGGAAGGAACGTCTAATTTGTACATGAACTTACTTATGAACACATTATTATACAAATACAGTACACCATTATGCAAAGGGAACATCAACATGGACAATGTCGGAGAGACCACCTAATTTGGAGTGAAGAAAGAAATAAAATTTATAGAATAATGGTGTACTGTATTTGTATAATAATGTGTTAAAAAATCTTTGTATAATAATGTCCAAAAATCTTTGTATAATAATGTTGTATTGCGTTTGTACAATAATGTGTTAAAACTTTTGTATAATAATGTGTTAAAATAATTATGAGTAAATTTAGTTATCCAATAATTTCTATTTACTTTCGTATATATGTGACTCTTGTTACACACTAAATAAGTTGACTCATATGAGTCATCATTGTAACCCATTGTGACCAGCATGTGACCATGTGAACGAAGTGCAATTTTGTAATGTGTGACCATTGTGACCGACTGTGACCCGTGATCGAAATTAATGTGTTGATAAATAGAAGCCAAAATTTAATTTTTAAGCTTTCGGGTGGTTTATCAGAGTCTATATATCAAATATATAGTGTGTGGAGAAAATTTCAAAATATTTTAAGGGTTTGTAGAAGAAATATACCAAAATTTTTAAAAGTACTCATAAAACACTATAAAACATATAGAAACATATTTGGAAGAACAAGTTTGAAACACAAAAATCGTAAAAACCATATTAACATATTCATAATAATATAGAGTAGGTTTACGAGAGATGTGTGACGTTGTAGAGTGATTAAATTGACAAAAATCATACTTATCGAAGGTTGTGGCTAGTTGTGACTGACTGTAATCCATCGTGAGTGAAATGTGCTATGGGACCCACATAAAGAACTAGTCAGAATTTTACCATATTTTTGTATTTCAGGGGTCCACAATCATTATTTCCATTTTCCTTTTAATATGGGGTCCAATCTTAATATTCAACCTTATATAATTTCTCTCTTAACCCTATATTTTTTTTCCAATTTTTAATCCCAAATTTTTACCTGCAATATTTTTAATCCAAAATTTACTTACTGTAAAACATTAAAAAATTAAGATTTTTTATGAATAAAAGCCAAACAAACATAAGTACTTTATTAATTCAACATATTTTTGGGTGGATACTACTATAAATTCAACATATTTTGATGGGATCCAATTTCACATAAAATCATTTAAAAATGCATATTTTTTTGTGGGGTATATTTTTTAATTCAGCCCTATGTTTTTTTCTTCTAACATTTTAAGCTCACGTTTTTCTCTACAACAATTTCAACCCAATTTTTTTCAAAAAACATAAAATAAGTTCAGATTTTTAATAAACAAAACCAATGGTAAAAGTTTATAATTTAGGCTACTACCAAACAAACAAAAGGAAGTCATAGTTAGGGTTCAAAACACTTAAATCCAAATTTTTTTCCTCTAAATATTTCAATCCAATTTTTTTCTCCACAAACAAGTTGAAATATATTAAACAAATACAAAAAATCAAAGGTTTATAATTAGGGTTCAAATAAATAAACAAAAAAGAGTTTATAATTAGGATTTGAACATAAAAAAGGCGGTTCAAAATTATTTTTCCAGTGAACTATCATGATCTATTATGAGTTGCCAAATTTTGTTGTTGTTGTTGCTATTGTGATATTTGTTCTTCTTTTCGCTCATCTTCTACTTCTTCTTCTTTTTCTATCGGAACTTTACCTTTCTTTTTCTTCTTTGTAGATTTTCTGGAATAAATTTTTCAATTCACGAATCTTTTTCCGGCATATGCTTTCCGGATTAATGTCTAGATGTTGTACTAAAGAGATAACCATTGGATTTATACTTCCTTATATCCTCCAGATAAAAAAAAGTGTTTCTTCATTCATTCATATTTGTAATATATTTTTGATTCCCTGAAAGAAAATATAACTCATTGTTACTATACTGAATCATGTGACCATGTGACTGTGTGACTATGTGACTGTATGACCATGCAACCATGTGACTATGCGACTATGTGACCGTGTGTCCATGTGGTCATGTGACCGTGTGAATATATGATCGTGTGAACATATGATTCATACTATGTGACCATTTACCATTGTCCATGAAATCATGGTTTATATACTCATATATTGGATCATATGACCTAAATGACCATATTTGTGACCTTATGATCATACGATCTTGTCACTTATATGATTATATGATCATATTACCTATATGACCGTGACCATATGACCCAAATTATCATGCCATTCATACATCCATAGATCGATTCATATAGTATTATAACCCATATGACTGTCCTGAATGAACTTGTGATCGCAACGGACCCATTTAACTCAATTTTAACATTTAACATCCCAATTGATTATTTTATTTCAAACCCAATATTCTATTTCAAAATTCTCAAAATTTCAAAAAACCAAAACCCTAAGTTGTTGGTTTAGTGCTCTATGATGTACTGATTATGAGCTTTGTTCAGATACATTCGATGTATTATTACAAAAGAGTTCTAGGTGGTTTATATAGAGAAAACAACAATAAATGCAAGTCTTCATGCAAGAGAAGGAGCCTAATTGTCATTTAATAAGGTGGTTAGGAAGAAAAGAGCTGTTGGAATTTAATGGTCTAATGGGCTGGGCCTTGATTTGTTCTTGGGCTGAAATGGACAGCTCATGGGCTGGCTTGAAGTCATCTTTGAGCCCAATAGCTTTCAGCCATGATGGAGGAGACGTTCCGGATTAAGTCTTGGCCGAAAAGGGAGGTGTTCGCGTCGTGATCCCGGACTCCGTGAAGAACATGAGTGACGGCCTTTGTTAACGTGATAAGGAGGGCTCGAGCTCTAACACGAGTGAGAGGAGACTCGGTTCTATGGGTTGCTCGGGGAGCCTTTGTTGGTTTAGTGCTCTATGATGTACTGATTATGAGTTTTGTTCAGATACATTCGATGTATTGATACTTTCTATGTGGTTTTATGAGAGTATTTTATTCATTACATGTTCTTGCATGCTAGATCTGTTATGAAATCCATGTATCATTAGGAATGATACTAAACTCCCTAGTCTTGTGTCGTTATGGGAATAACGACATAATAAGACTAGTATGATGTGTGATTGATGATCACATAGATGATCA